GTGGAAACAGCAGTGACATCTATTAGTGACTTAAACCACAGAGTTACAAGGAGCCAGTGGATTTCTTCAAAGTCTATCACACTGATGGATTCTCGCAAACTCGTCCCATCAGGTTCCGAACATGATGAAGAGCGAAAACAAATCAGATCTAGGTTAAGAAAAAGTCTAAGGAACGACCGTGAGCAGTGGTGGGTAACGAAAGCAAAAGAGATGGAAAAGGCGGCGACTATAGGGAATACAAGACAGCTTTACAGACTAATAAAAGAAACTGAAATTAATAAGTCAGGTGTAAGTGAGATTATTTCGGAAAAAGACGATACTCTCATCTGCTCCCAATCCAGACGTTTAGAACGATGGGCGGAACATTTTAGGGAACAGTTCAGCTGGCCTTCAGCGACTCTACAACTACCCTCCATTCCCAGACAAAGTGAATGGAACATTGAAGTAGGTCCCCCAACTCTAGCAGAAGTTCAAAAGGCTATAGTTAATCTGAAACGAGGAAGGGCGGCTTGTCCAGATGGATTGGCTCCAGAAGTCTTTAAGGATGGTGGTCCAATTTTAGTGACTAGGTTGTCTAATATTTTAGCTAAGATCTGGGAGTTAGACGTTATTCCATCTGACTGGTCACAATCACTTATCGTCCCAATATATAAGAAAGGGTCAAAATCATCATGTGACAACCACAGAGGGATTAGTCTAACTAATATAATATCTAAAATACTAGCCTCGATAATTATCAGACGCCTAACTAAGACTCGTGAAGTGCAAACACGAGAGAACCAAGCTGGCTTCAGACCTGGTCGTGGCTGCATCGACCGCATATTCACCATTCGTTAGATTCTAGAACACAGGCATACTTATCGGCGTCCGACAATGGTGGTTTTTCTCGACTTAAAAGCAGTATTTGACTCGGTAGACCGCGAGATTCTGTGGCAGTGTCGGTCATTGAAAGGCTTACCCCAGAAGTACATAAACCTTGTGAAGGCTCTTTACTCGAACACTACTAGTCGAGTCAGAGCTTATGGCGAACTGTCATCTACTTTTGCAACCTCAAGTGGTGTCCGTCAAGGCTGTCCACTTTCCCCATTTTCGTTTAACTTCATCATAGATCTACTGATGGAAATAACGTTCTCGTCGACTGAGTTCTCGGGTATTGATCTCCATCCAGGAGGTCCACTTATCGACTTAGAATACGCGGATGACATAGTCCTGTTTGGTGAAGACGCTGACAAAATGCAGAGTCTTCTGGTAGCACTGAGCAACAATACCAGAATGTTTGGAATGCGCTTCTCTCCCTCTAAATGCAAGTTGTTGCTTCAGGACTGGTCTGCGTCAACACCTAAACTAAGGATAGGGAGTGAAGTGGTCGAACGCGTTGACAACTTCACTTATCTTGGAAGTGTGATCAGCCCTAATTGGTTGGTGTCTGACGAAATCTCAGCACAGATTCGAAAAGCTCGTTTGGCTTTTGCCAACTTACATCACCTTTGGAGAAGGCGAGATATCCATCTATCAATAAAAGGACGAGTATACTGCGCGGCAGTCCGTTCTATTTTAATTTACGGCAGCGAAACATGGCCATTAAGAGTAGAAGACACTCGTAAGCTACTAGTATTTGACCACAGATGCCTTAGAAATATTGCTGGCATCTGCTCGGATGACCGAGTAAGTAATAGTGAGGTTAGACGCAGGGTATTAGGGAATGATGGTAAATCAGTTGATGAGGTTATGAATCTTCATCGACTGAGATGGTTGGGCCACGTATTACGTATGCCTGAATACCGATTACCAAGACTTGCAATGCTATCCAGTATTGGAGATGGTTGGAAGAAAGTTAGGGGCGGTCAAACCAAAACGTGGCATCAGTGCTTGAAGTCAGTAACTCCTACCCTGAGCCATGTTGGTAGATGCAGACTACTTGGTTGGGGTCCAGTAGACTATCGTAACCAATGGTTGAAGACTGTGTGTGGCATGGCTCAGAATAGATCACAATGGCGTCGGTGTATACACTCCCTGTCTTCCATTAAACTAAGAGATTAAAATCGCTTCATACCTTTCTTTCTACGAACCAATTTTTTCTTCTTGTACTATATCTCTATATGCAATCTTTCTCTTATATATTACCACCTTTGACCTAACCACTGCTATGAATCCGGTGTTTATCTTGTTGTGCTGATGCGGTATGGCAACCTGGACCGATGCACATATGTGCCTGGTCCTACGTTGTAGCTGACTGACTGACTGACTGAGTTCCAGTGTGAACCACTTGCTTTGGGATTAGGGAAATCATAGTGCCCTAATTCTGTTATCCATCGTCATACACATCAATAGTTTTAAGTGCAGACTAGATAAAAGTCTTCCTGTATGTTTTTCTTCTAATTCAACCTATAGCGTTATCAGTGAAGTTACTTAAAAGGAGCCATTGGTCCGGACATTTTGAATACTGTTGTTTCAGTCAGTCAGCTACAACGTAGGACCAGGCACATATGTGCATCGGTGCAAGTTGCCATATCACATTAGCACAACAAGATAAACACCGGATTCATAGCAGTGGTTATGTCAAAGGTGGTAATATATAAAAGAAAGATTGCAATAAGTATATAGTACAGGAAGAAAGAATTAGTTCGTAGAAAGAAAGATAAGAAGCGATTTTAATCTCTTAGTTTAAGGGAAGACAGTGAGTGTATACACCTACGTCATTGTGATCGATTCTGAGCCATGTCACCCATAGTCTCTAACCATGGGTTACGATAGTCAAGTGGACCCCAACCAAGTAGTCTGCATCTCCCAACATGGCTCAGAGTAGGAGTTACTGACTTCAAGCACTGATGCCACGTTTTGGTTTGACCGCCCCTAACTTTCTTCCAACCATCTCCAATACTGGATAGCATTGCCTGTCGTGGTAATCGGTATTCAGGCATACGTAGCACGTGGTCCATCCATCTCAGTCGATGAATATTCACAACCTCTAACAGCACTCAAGTCCACTCTACTGTTGTCTCAAATAATTTAAAACTGTTCTAAGCCGTGACACTACTCTGACTAATCCCACGCAAGCTAAATAACAAATCCGAAGTGTAAACGGTTTATAAATACGAAAATTCATAGTGGTTCTGGTTGTTGAGTGCTTTAGTAACGTGTCCCAGGTAGTCAGTGGATATGATCAACTTGCATTTTACCAAAAAAAGAACCAGAACCTCTCAGTCAAACTTCAAGTTCTCTCTCTCTTTCTGCAGGCCAATAATTTCTAAGATTACGATTCTTAGATGGTGTCTCATTTTAACATTATAACTGGTGTTAGTGTGTAGTAATAACCCTAATTCTATATTTTTACTCTTCATTTATAACTCTAACATCTAGTCTGTATTCCTCATGCTAATTTATAACCATATTTTCACAGTAGTCAGTGGTTGAAATTCATCATACACATATCATTAAAGAAATGGTCTTTCTATGTGATGAAAACTAATTTGAAGATTATTCAACACATATGTATTTCACAGATTGAAATCATGAGTCAGTTGAAGCTAGACCACCATTGAAAACCTGGAAGCACTGGACGGCCGTTTCGTCCTAGTGTGGGACTCCTCAGCAGTGCGCATCCACGATCCCGCACCACGCGGGGCTCGAACCCAGGACCTACTGGCTTCGCGCGTGAGCACTTAACCATTAGACCACTGAGCCTGCATCCAACGGTGTTAATGTCTAACTTCAACCAATCCACTGTGTTCTTTCTGACTTGTATGGTGATCGATCCGTTTATGACTGACTATCGGAATATGTATTGGAAAGTTATGGGAATTACTTAATAATATATCAGTTACAATTTACCTTATTCTGTTTTCGAAATGTAATTCAATTCATCAACTATTTTCTTTTATGAGAAAAATTTCTAAGGTCTTCTGGTTAATCTTATCGGTACTTTCAACATTCTATTAAATGTGTTACATGTAACGTCTGATCCAGGAATATAATACTTTAATTTAGTCAAAGTACTATATCCACAAATTGAAGCTGCGGTTATAAGAGACTATAGATATGAGATGTTTGGAAGTGTATATCGTATCTAAACAAATTATCTTTTAATGATTCACTATAACTTCAATCAAATACTATTAACTCATTGTCATTCACAGATACCTTTATAGGTTATTTTTTTTATTTCAACATAGATATTGGTACAAAGAGGCATCAAATACATATGCGCCACACAAATCTCATTCGATATATGTGAGGGCTGTGATACTGCCCGGGTACCCAAACCGAAGCAGGTGGTTTTCTTAGGGGGCCACTCCCCGAGCCTTCGACCTGAAGGTCTGATCCACAAGGCAGTGGAGCATCGTCAGGAGATGCAGTCCCATGGAAGCCGGTGACCAACAATTGGTTCATTTGTTCCCGTAGGATACTGGAGTCCATGTGCACCACTGATTTGGTTTGGGATCCGGTTAAAGTGCCGGACACTCGCTTTTCGTCCTCTCATTTTCGTAAACAACATCCCCGCCACGAGAGGGCAATGAGTAGGACTTCCCTGGCAGAGGCTATAAACGCGTGGCCATGTGAGAACATTTCGAAAGGGAGAGCGGACTCTCCCCACTCCCGGCCGTAGCTGGGCATTTGCGGGCCTTATAGGTTAGAGTAATTTTATAATGGTTTTTAGGAGAACTAACCGGATATCATTCAAACTTTTACATGATAACTAAAAACAATAAAACTCAATCCTATTTCATAAGAGAGTCAGACACCCACCCCATCACCAACAACTACCTACTTTACTAGTACGAGTTCCACCCCACATTATTCTCATTGTGAAGAAAATAATAAAAAAAATTTATTTATTGCAATATAAGTTTTATTGAAAAGAAACTATTCACTACAAAAAAAAATGTACTTCATTACAAAAATTAATAACAAACATTAACTAAACTAATATTGATTAAGATAAATTAATAAACAATAATAAATCAATAAACGATAATAAATAAATAAGGAAAATTTATGGATTATTTAAGATGATTTAATGTTAAAGCGGCATTTCTTTGACGATATTTATAAATGATTCCAATAACAATTACAATTAGTAAAATTCCAGTAGCAGCAGCAGCTATGGCGATGATAGTTCCGGTGTGATCTTCTGGAACTAATGAGTAAATAATAATAACAAAAAAGTATCATTAAAATCAGATTTATTTATATATTTAAACACATGAACATTAGTACAAGGAGGTACCGAATAGATATACGCCACATAAATCATTCGATTTGTATGAGGGCTGGAATACTGTCCAGGTGCTTAAATTGAAACAGGTGGTTTTCCTAAGGGGCCATACCTGGAACCTTCAACCTAAAGTTCTGATCCACAAGTCAATTGAGTAACGTCGGGAGATACAGTCCCATGGTATGCAGTGACCAATAATTGGTTCATATGTCATTTTTTCCTTCGGGATACTAGAGCTCATGTGCATCATTGGTTTGGAATTAGGGTTATCCAACTCCCGGTTAAAGCACCGGACATTCGTATTTTGTACTCTCAATTTCGTAGTTAACAGTGATGCCGCGAGAAAGCAGTGACTAGGAGTTCCGTGGGAGTGGTTGTTTACGCATGGCCATGTGAGAGCATTTCGAGAGAGAGAGGTGGCTCTCCCCACTCTCGGCCGTACCAGAGCATTTTGGGGAAGAACTAATCAGGTAAAAGACAATAGGTCTTGGACTTTGGCGCGAAATTCATTCATCCATTTGGATAAATGGCGTTTTGGTATTATAACTGATGTCAGTTCATGATAAAAACCCTAAATCTCATTTCTAACCTTAAGCCCATCAATTGTCATTCATAATTCTAATTCTATAAACTGGTTTATAACTCTTATCTGGTCTTAGTTATTAGGTGAACACACGTAGAATTTTTTACAAAAAGAACACACCACTAACGGGTTCTTTATTCAGTTATTCAATACAAATCTATCATAGTAGTATGTTTTATAACCTAAACGTAACTTACACAATCTGTTATATCAGTATTGGGTTGTGGTGATTATTATATTTTTTTGATTGAGACCATGAACCGACTGATGTTAGACCGCCATTGAAAACCTGTAAAAGTAATGGACTGCCGTTTTGTTCTTTTTTGGGATTTCTCAGCAGTGCTTATCCACGATTCCGCTCGTGAGGATCGACTTATGATCTCGACCAACATATAATTATCTCCACAACCCCGTACTGATAATTACCGTGTGCTCACTAGTGACTAGCTTCGTGAGAGAATTCTCGGAGTTCTAATTAGAAGTCGTGACCAACGGAGCTAGTCCGTGTCAAGTAGAGATAGCTATCTACCTCAGTATAATAGAAGATGGTCGCGCAATTTCGTGGATTAGTTGAGGTTAGACATTAACAGTGTGGGATGCCGGCCGGCTTAGTGGTTTAGAGGATAAGCGTTCACGCGCGAGACCGAAGTCCTCGGGTTCGAATCTGGTGATCGGGATTGTGGATGCACAATGATGAGGATTCCCATACTAGAACGACACGGCCGTCCAGTGCTCCCAGATTTTTATTGGTGGTCTAACATCAATATTTGTATTGTAGTGAACGAGAACACTAGTTGGGACAATCAAATGTATTTTATTATCATACTATGAATATTTTATTTGCAAAATATCCATTAATTGTTTCAGATTTTGTTATTATTTCATTTCTATATCAATCACTCTCTGTTCGTTTTCTCTTCTCTTCTCAACCTTCTACCTTCAGTCATTTCACTTTCGGTTGATGACACATACTACTTATATCTATCAACATCAGTAGCATACATCACATTATATGTGTAAACAAACAAAACGAAACAATGAATAAGGATTAATTAATTCAGTGTCAATGTATCACTAATATTAGTAAAATGAACGTTTCTATTATCTTAAGGTATATAGGTTTCTTTCATTATATCATCTTAAGGTATAAGTCTAATCAAAATATGTTTGAATCTTTCCATTGATATTTATGTCTGTAATTGATCAGTCTCTCTTATTGGCACATGTGTATTCTGTGCTGATTGCGTCGATAATGATATTTAGTCAAAAAGATTATCAGCAAAGATAGTATATAATGAGTAAGATAAGAAGTGCACACACCTACGTTTACATAAAAATAGTCAAGGTTGATAAACGAATAATTAAGAAGATCAAGAATATAGCTTGAGAAGAATGAATAAATTGCTCTGTTCGAATGTTAGAATAAGTTATGTGGGCTTGACATGGTACCAGACACTGCAAGCTAATTAAATGAGCATTAATATAGATTAATTCATTGAGAAAAAGAGACTAACCTTTTTTCGTGCGTTTCTTCTTCTTCTTCATTATTGCTATATGATAATTAAATAAAAGAGACAAGAAATGATCAATTAATCTCATAGGATTACCACCCTCTCAGTGAATGCAAATAAACACAAACCAACAATGAAAATATAAATCAATGTATTAGATGTGATACAAAGAGTATGATTTAAGCAGGAAATTGTGTACAGTGTAACGTGTGTGTGTGTGTGTTTGGGTATGTATGATGTTAATCGTTATGGTTGTGTTGATTGTATTCTACCTGAATCTTGATATTATGAATATGTTCTGATCAAGTCAGCATGGATATTAATTAATGAAGGTATGAAACGAAACTCACTTTTAGTTTTTAATACAATCGTTTCTATATTTTGATTAAAAATAGTGAGAAAAAGATTAATGAATAGATAAATGTGTTAGTTCAAAATGAGATAGAATAATGTATACCACAATCGTTGTAAACGTAGATGCTTTTTTGACATAATGGTTTAACTTACCTACCCTAATAACTCAATTGAGGTGCATTAGCTAGAATACGTGTCCCTTGATGTCCCATCATACCAGACAGGTAGATTGGAAAATGATAGAAGGAAAAGCAGAAACTCGAAAGTGAAGTCGTACTGTTGGCTGTATATAGCTGTGATGAATGAAAGGTATATTTTTCAGACAATCAACATCTAAAGCGATATTGCTTTCTTCCAACGATATATATGTGATTTTGTTCCGTAGTCCTTTATTTATTTGGTTTTCCTAACTCTTTTTCTACCACTTTATCAACCATTCACTTAGTCAAATATCTTAATTGCTTTTTTAATTGATGTCCCGAACGACTATAAGTTAGACAGCAAAAATCTCGGAGAGTTGGATGTCTGTTTCGTTCTTGCATAAGACTCCCCAGTAGTACGCACCTACAATACCACAACTGAGAATCAAACCTAGAGCAAATGATATCACGTACAAACTCTTAACCTATAAACCACTGAGCTGAAATCTGAGAGTCTTAAAGGCTAACGCTAATCAGTAGACTATATAACGAGATCATTCTCTATTGTTTTGGGTGGGTAACGTCATTGCATCATCTTGCTTTTGAGCTAGTCAGATATACTTAGTTTAAAAGAAAAAGTAATTCCATGAAAGTTTTTTTACTAACTTTTAGTTTCCACATTAGATAACTTCAGTCCAGTTTTGCTGTCTGATTTCTCAATACCAGAATTAATAATATTTGTAAATGCTTCTGTAGTCAGTTCTTTTCCTTGAGGAGTTGGAATTTCAATATTCGCTGTTCCTTGAATACCTTGTTTTCTATTTTGATCTAAGGTCACGTCTACTTGTCTTTTCAAACGATTTGAGGACTCAACTGGTGTGAATGTAACATTAGTACATTTTGCATCGTTTGACAATGATGGATTTCCGAGTTTCAAACTACTTAAAATCTGTGAATTTTATAAAAATGGATAACAAATTACTAATTAACGTTTTAATCAATGAAAGAATCATTGGATTATAGAAAATTATGAGTGATAACTATTCTTGTGCGTTGGTCATATGTGCCAATCAGTAATCATTACTCCTATGAATATATTATTTATTTATTTAGTTGAACACATAAATATTGGTACAAGGGGGCACCAAATATATATGCGTCACACAACAACAATGAGAATGGAAAAACAAAAAAAGGAAGGTAAGGAGCGTAAAAAAAGAACAATAACGAACAGATTAGTGTAAGGTAGTGTAATAATAATAATAATAATAATAATAATAATAATAATAATAATAATAATGGGGGAAACGGAAAGGCACAATCAGAAGAAATCTTTCGGTTCAGGAAGATACAACCACTTTTTTATGAAGAAAGTAAAAGAAGGTTACAGCAGGATCGCCACTGGCTTCTATTCTGAACCATATCTGATAACGCTTCTAGCCACTGTGTTGCACCATCTCTAGGACCCCAACCAGGGAGTCATGAAGGCCCAACAGATGCCAGTCCTGTGCAACTTTAGTTCATGCCACGACACCATGTCATACAACGACCACCTCCTCTTTTTCCAGCCAGTCCCAGAGTCGGCAAATAATGCACGTTGTGGAATTCTCTGAGACGACATTCGTAGAGCATGTTCAAGCCACCGAAGTTGGTGTTTCAAGATTGTGACACCAAGTGGATTATCGTCTCTGTGCCCGAACACACGATGCCGAACCTCTGCATTACTGACATGGCGTTGACACTGAATGTCAGCAATCCTTCGGAGACAGCGATGATCGAACACAGAGAGTCGTCTAACGTCCTCAACTCGGAGAGACCAGGTTTCACAAGCATAGAGCATAACTGCTCTCACCGACGCGTTGTAGATCCGACCTTTTACAGCCAGACTAACATCACGAAGGCGCCAAAGGCGGCCTAGATTGGCATAAGCCGCTCTGGCTTTCACTATACGTGCATTGATCTCATCACTAACACCCCCACCAGCACTTATGCAGCTACCTAGATAAGATACACGAACTTCTCGACTATTTCCATCTGCTCACCATCCAGTTTGAGTACAGGATTGGGATCCTGCCAGTTTTGTAGAAGTACTTTGCACTTCGAAGGTGCAAAGCACATACCATATCTACGGACATTGATTGCTAACTGATTAAGTGAGGATTGCATGGCTTACGTATTATTGATAAGTATGACGGTGTTCTAACATATGGCGGAGAGTGAAGATATGATCAGTACATACTCGACGAGAACGAATATTATTATTAAATAATCAATCGTCAGTGAAATTCCCACACTTTCTCTCAATTCTAATTTTGATGATATTAGTTCATAATTCACTAGACAAGTATGACTCTTTCAATTGATTATGGAATAAACTTATCACTGATGAAACCTTTTATTTAAAAAAATACAATTACTAATTTTAAGTAATGGATTGTGGAGATTGTTAAATTTTTGATTGAGATCATGAATCGATAAATGTTAGACCATCATTGAAAACCTGAACGCATTGTACGATCGTTTTGTATATAAATTCTCAACAGTGCTCATCCACAAACCTACATGCAGATTTCACAGAAAATTTTATAATTCTATATAAATTTATTCATTAAATACATACCATCTTTCCAAGTAAATCAATCAATGCCCAATACGAATGATTAACAAGTTAAATGGAGAGTAAGTGATGGCAACTGATTCATATGTCTACTATGAAGTCGAGAATTACATTCATATATACTCTATATAATAAACTGTCTATTGAAAGCAAATTTACAAAAACAATATTATACTCACTGAATCACAAAATATAGCTGCCAGATTAATATAAGCTGGAGTATTTGTATTTGTCAATTCAACTGACCAATATTGTGGTAATGTTTCATTCTCTATAGCCAATACTGACTTCACTTCAAATGTTGGTACTATAGAAATATATAGAAAATCAGATAGTCATAGTTTCTGTATATTGGCAAATAAACATTGGCAAATAGATATTTACAATCATTAAGAACTTATATAAAAGCGAAAATAGATTTAAGAATTATGTGTATAATACAATAGCAACTATCAATATAACAGGACTGGCAAAAAAAAATTGCAAAGACAAATTAAGGGAAAAGAAAGAAGTATACAGGAAAAGACAAAGAAAAATGTACAAAAATGAAAAGAAAAGAAAAAAAAGACTGTAAAAGATGAAAATATACAAAAAATAAAAGAAAAAATAAACAATAAACCAGATTGAAGGATTTAACAAGCATATTTAATAAATAAAAAAGAGTAAAACATAAGAAATCCATAAGAATTAACATAGAAACAAAACAAGATTTCATAAAAAGCCAGATCGAGAGAAACAAAAAGAAAATCTGTGACAATGAGAACGTGAAGCAAAAAAAATATTAAAGCAACAGTAAATATAAATAATGAACGTGGAATATCTAAAATATAAACACATACATAGGTGTATAAAGTAGAGCCCGAAGCAAAGAACAAATGATAAACATCAAAATCTATAAGCAACATAAGGTGAGTCAGGCAAATAGAGAACATGAAAATATAGAAATTACAAAAATAAAATAATTGAATAAAATTCAGAAACCAAGGATAAAATATATGTAAAAAAAAGCATCCATAAAAACTCAGAACAATCATAAAATACTCACCTTCAACAATAATATCCACGGCAACCACCCTAACAGGATCATCGGAATTGACATCTAAAATGTGATTAATTGAAAACCGTGAGTCAAGTGGTCAATGCACACATGAATATTCCAGTCGACAATGAAAGTGATCAAATGAGATTGACTTGTGCGTGTCGAGTGATCAATGAATATTGTGTGATTGTGAAATTGTCAAGTGTGAATGTGCAGAGAGAGACAATGTGTGTCAGACAGTTTGTCAGGTGGAAACACAGACGGTGGACGAACAGACGAACAGACAGAAAGACAGTGAGGCGGATAGCCTGTCAGACAGAGAGAGAGAGAGAGAGAAAGAGAGAGAGAGACAGACAGACAGACCGACCGAGTAGTAATCGGCAATATTGTGTGACGACCGACGTTGTTGTGAATGGAGAAGGAGATTGTGAGCGATGGTGATGTGAGAAGAGGGAATGTCGTGGATTCATGTAGATTTAAATATAAATATGTCTACATATATATATATATATATATATATATATATATGTATTTATATGTATATAGATATATCTATGGCTACATGTTTAGTTGGAGAGGGAATGTGTTATATGTGGAGGAATGTGATTGAAGCAATGATTGATTTGATAGTGATATGTGTTTAATGTGTGATGTTTGATGGGTGTGTATGTGTAGAATAGAGGTGATATGAAGTGGTTGAGTGAGTGATTGTGTTAATAATTGAGTAATCTAGTGAGTGAGTCAGTGAATGTGAGTGATTGTGTTTCGCAATGTGTGTGTGTGTGTCTGTGTGAGTGTGTTAGAGAAATAGAGTGTTCGTGTGTAGTTGTAGCGGACTGATGGTTCACACGTGTGTCAGATAGTCAAAACAATATCAGTATACGTTGATGGAAAAGATTTCCGCGATACTTACCTTCATCTTCAATTTCCTCCTCCGCCTCTTCATTGTCTTCTCCTGAATTGATATCTACAAGGTGATTGATTGAAAACCGTGAGTCAAGTGGTCAATGCACACATGAATATTCCAGTCGACAATGAAAGTGATCAAATGAGATTGACTTGTGCGTGTCGAGTGATCAATGAATATTGTGTGATTGTGAAATTGTCAAGTGTGAATGTGCAGAGAGAGACAATGTGTGTCAGACAGTTTGTCAGGTGGAAACACAGACGGTGGACGAACAGACGAACAGACAGAAAGACAGTGAGGCGGATAGCCTGTCAGACAGAGAGAGAGAGAGAGAGAAAGAGAGAGAGAGACAGACAGACAGACCGACCGAGTAGTAATCGGCAATATTGTGTGACGACCGACGTTGTTGTGAATGGAGAAGGAGATTGTGAGCGATGGTGATGTGAGAAGAGGGAATGTCGTGGATTCATGTAGATTTAAATATAAATATGTCTACATAGATATATATATATATATGTATTTATATGTATATAGATATATCTATGGCTACATGTTTAGTTGGAGAGGGAATGTGTTATATGTGGAGGAATGTGATTGAAGCAATGATTGATTTGATAGTGATATGTGTTTAATGTGTGATGTTTGATGGGTGTGTATGTGTAGAATAGAGGTGATATGAAGTGGTTGAGTGAGTGATTGTGTTAATAATTGAGTAATCTAGTGAGTGAGTCAGTGAATGTGAGTGATTGTGTTTCGCAATGTGTGTGTGTGTCTGTGTGAGTGTGTTAGAGAAATAGAGTGTTCGTGTGTAGTTGTAGCGGACTGATGGTTCACACGTGTGTCAGATAGTCAAAACAATATCAGTATAGATTGATGCAAATGATTTATGTGACACTTACCACGATCATTATCTTCCTGGGGTACTTCATCTATGTGGTCACCTGGATTCTCATCTACAAGGTGATTGATTGAAAACCGTGAGTCAAGTGGTCAATGCACACATGAATATTCCAGTCGACAATGAAAGTGATCAAATGAGATTGACTTGTGCGTGTCGAGTGATCAATGAATATTGTGTGATTGTGAAATTGTCAAGTGTGAATGTGCAGAGAGAGACAATGTGTGTCAGACAGTTTGTCAGGTGGAAACACAGACGGTGGACGAACAGACGAACAGACAGAAAGACAGTGAGGCGGATAGCCTGTCAGACAGAGAGAGAGAGAGAGAGAGAAAGAGAGAGAGAGAGACAGACAGACAGACCGACCGAGTAGTAATCGGCAATATTGTGTGACGACCGACGTTGTTGTGAATGGAGAAGGAGATTGTGAGCGATGGTGATGTGAGAAGAGGGAATGTCGTGGATTCATGTAGATTTAAATATAAATATGTCTACATAGATATATATATATATATATATATATATATATATATATATATATGTATTTATATGTATATAGATATATCTATGGCTACATGTTTAGTTGGAGAGGGAATGTGTTATATGTGGAGGAATGTGATTGAAGCAATGATTGATTTGATAGTGATATGTGTTTAATGTGTGATGTTTGATGGGTGTGTATGTGTAGAATAGAGGTGATATGAAGTGGTTGAGTGAGTGATTGTGTTAATAATTGAGTAATCTAGTGAGTGAGTCAGTGAATGTGAGTGATTGTGTTTCGCAATGTGTGTGTGTGTCTGTGTGAGTGTGTTAGAGAAATAGAGTGTTCGTGTGTAGTTGTAGCGGACTGATGGTTCACACGTGTGTCAGATAGTCAAAACAATATCAGTATAGATTGATGCAAATGATTTATGTGACACTTACCACGATCATTATCTTCCTGGGGTACTTCATCTATGTGGTCACCTGGATTCTCATCTACAAGGTGATTGATTGAAAACCGTGAGTCAAGTGGTCAATGCACACATGAATATTCCAGTCGACAATGAAAGTGATCAAATGAGATTGACTTGTGCGTGTCGAGTGATCAATGAATATTGTGTGATTGTGAAATTGTCAAGTGTGAATGTGCAGAGAGAGACAATGTGTGTCAGACAGTTTGTCAGGTGGAAACACAGACGGTGGACGAACAGACGAACAGACAGAAAGACAGTGAGGCGGATAGCCTGTCAGACAGAGAGAGAGAGAGAGAGAAAGAGAGAGAGAGAGAGACAGACAGACCGACCGAGTAGTAATCGGCAATATTGTGTGACGACCGACGTTGTTGTGAATGGAGAAGGAGATTGTGAGCGATGGTGATGTGAGAAGAGGGAATGTCGTGGATTCATGTAGATTTAAATATAAATATGTCTACATAGATATATATATATATATATATATATATATATATATATATATATATATATATATATATATATATATATATATATATGTATTTATATGTATATAGATATATCTATGGCTACATGTTTAGTTGGAGAGGGAATGTGTTATATGTGGAGGAATGTGATTGAAGCAATGATTGATTTGATAGTGATATGTGTTTAATGTGTGATGTTTGATGGGTGTGTATGTGTAGAATAGAGGTGATATGAAGTGGTTGAGTGAGTGATTGTGGTAATAATTGAGTAATCCAGTGAGTGAGTCAGTGAATGTGAGTGATTGTGTTTCGCAATGTGTGTGTGTGTCTGTGTGAGTGTGTTAGAGAAATAGAGTGTTCGTGTGTAGTTGTAGCGGACTGATGGTTCACACGTGTGTCAGATAGTCAAAACAATATCAGTATAGATTGATGCAAATGATTTATGTGACACTTACCACGATCATTATCTTCCTGGGGTACTTCATCTATGTGGTCACCTGGATTCTCATCTACAAGGTGATTGATTGAAAACCGTGAGTCAAGTGGTCAATGCACACATGAATATTCCAGTCGACAATGAAAGTGATCAAATGAGATTGACTTGTGCGTGTCGAGTGATCAATGAATATTGTGTGATTGTGAAATTGTCAAGTGTGAATGTGCAGAGAGAGACAATGTGTGTCAGACAGTTTGTCAGGTGGAAACACAGACGGTGGACGAACAGACGAACAGACAGAAAGACAGTGAGGCGGATAGCCTGTCAGACAGAGAGAGAGAGAGAGAGAGAAAGAGAGAGAGAGAGACAGACAGACAGACCGACCGAGTAGTAATCGGCAATATTGTGTGACGACCGACGTTGTTGTGAATGGAGAAGGAGATTGTGAGCGATGGTGATGTGAGAAGAGGGAATGTCGTGGATTCATGTAGATTTAAATATAAATATGTCTACATATATATATATATATATATATATATATATATATATATATATATATATATATGTATTTATATGTATATAGATATATCTATGGCTACATGTTTAGTTGGAGAGGGAATGTGTTATATGTGGAGGAATGTGATTGAAGCAATGATTGATTTGATAGTGATATGTGTTTAATGTGTGATGTTTGATGGGTGTGTATGTGTAGAATAGAGGTGATATGAAGTGGTTGAGTGAGTGATTGTGTTAATAATTGAGTAATCTAGTGAGTGAGTCAGTGAATGTGAGTGATTGTGTTTCGCAATGTGTGTGTGTGTCTGTGTGAGTGTGTTAGAGAAATAGAGTGTTCGTGTGTAGTTGTAGCGGACTGATGGTTCACACGTGTGTCAGATAGTCAAAACAATATCAGTATAGATTGATGCAAATGATTTATGTGACACTTACCACGATCATTATCTTCCTGGGGTACTTCATCTATGTGGTCACCTGGATTCTCATCTACAAGGTGATTGATTGAAAACCGTGAGTCAAGTGGTCAATGCACACATGAATATTCCAGTCGACAATGAAAGTGATCAAATGAGATTGACTTGTGCGTGTCGAGTGATCAATGAATATTGTGTGATTGTGAAATTGTCAAGTGTGAATGTGCAGAGAGAGACAATGTGTGTCAGACAGTTTGTCAGGTGGAAACACAGACGGTGGACGAACAGACGAACAGACAGAAAGACAGTGAGGCGGATAGCCTGTCAGACAGAGAGAGAGAGAGAGAGAGAGAAAGAGAGAGAGACAGACAGACAGACCGACCGAGTAGTAATCGGCAATATTGTGTGACGACCGACGTTGTTGTGAATGGAGAAGGAGATTGTGAGCGATGGTGATGTGAGAAGAGGGAATGTCGTGGATTCATGTAGATTTAAATATAAATATGTCTACATAGATATATATATATATATATATATATATATATATATATATATATGTATTTATATGTATATAGATATATCTATGGCTACATGTTTAGTTGGAGAGGGAATGTGTTATATGTGGAGGAATGTGATTGAAGCAATGATTGATTTGATAGTGATATGTGTTTAATGTGTGATGTTTGATGGGTGTGTATGTGTAGAATAGAGGTGATATGAAGTGGTTGAGTGAGTGATTGTGTTAATAATTGAGTAATCTAGTGAGTGAGTCAGTGAATGTGAGTGATTGTGTTTCGCAATGTGTGTGTGTGTCTGTGTGAGTGTGTTAGAGAAATAGAGTGTTCGTGTGTAGTTGTAGCGGACTGATGGTTCACACGTGTGTCAGATAGTCAAAACAATATCAGTATAGATTGATGCAAATGATTTATGTGACACTTACCACGATCATTATCTTCCTGGGGTACTTCATCTATGTGGTCACCTGGATTCTCATCTACAAGGTGATTGATTGAAAACCGTGAGTCAAGTGGTCAATGCACACATGAATATTCCAGTCGACAATGAAAGTGATCAAATGAGATTGACTTGTGCGTGTCGAGTGATCAATGAATATTGTGTGATTGTGAAATTGTCAAGTGTGAATGTGCAGAGAGAGACAATGTGTGTCAGACAGTTTGTCAGGTGGAAACACAGACGGTGGACGAACAGACGAACAGACAGAAAGACAGTGAGGCGGATAGCCTGTCAGACAGAGAGAGAGAGAGAGACAGACAGACAGACCGACCGAGTAGTAATCGGCAATATTGTGTGACGACCGACGTTGTTGTGAATGGAGAAGGAGATTGTGAGCGATGGTGATGTGAGAAGAGGGAATGTCGTGGATTCATGTAGATTTAAATATAAATATGTCTACATAGATATATATATATATATATATATATGTATTTATATGTATATAGATATATCTATGGCTACATGTTTAGTTGGAGAGGGAATGTGTTATATGTGGAGGAATGTGATTGAAGCAATGATTGATTTGATAGTGATATGTGTTTAATGTGTGATGTTTGATGGGTGTGTATGTGTAGAATAGAGGTGATATGAAGTGGTTGAGTGAGTGATTGTGTTAATAATTGAGTAATCTAGTGAGTGAGTCAGTGAATGTGAGTGATTGTGTTTCGCAATGTGTGTGTGTGTCTGTGTGAGTGTGTTAGAGAAATAGAGTGTTCGTGTGTAGTTGTAGCGGACTGATGGTTCACACGTGTGTCAGATAGTCAAAACAATATCAGTATAGATTGATGCAAATGATTTATGTGACACTTACCACGATCATTATCTTCCTGGGGTACTTCATCTATGTGGTCACCTGGATTCTCATCTACAAGGTGATTGATTGAAAACCGTGAGTCAAGTGGTCAATGCACACATGAATATTCCAGTCGACAATGAAAGTGATCAAATGAGATTGACTTGTGCGTGTCGAGTGATCAATGAATATTGTGTGATTGTGAAATTGTCAAGTGTGAATGTGCAGAGAGAGACAATGTGTGTCAGACAGTTTGTCAGGTGGAAACACAGACGGTGGACGAACAGACGAACAGACAGAAAGACAGTGAGGCGGATAGCCTGTCAGACAGAGAGAGAGAGAGAGAGAGAAAGAGAGAGAGAGACAGACAGACAGACCGACCGAGTAGTAATCGGCAATATTGTGTGACGACCGACGTTGTTGTGAATGGAGAAGGAGATTGTGAGCGATGGTGATGTGAGAAGAGGGAATGTCGTGGATTCATGTAGATTTAAATATAAATATGTCTACATAGATATATATATATATATATATATATATATATATATATATATGTATTTATATGTATATAGATATATCTATGGCTACATGTTTAGTTGGAGAGGGAATGTGTTATATGTGGAGGAATGTGATTGAAGCAATGATTGATTTGATAGTGATATGTGTTTAATGTGTGATGTTTGATGGGTGTGTATGTGTAGAATAGAGGTGATATGAAGTGGTTGAGTGAGTGATTGTGTTAATAATTGAGTAATCTAGTGAGTGAGTCAGTGAATGTGAGTGATTGTGTTTCGCAATGTGTGTGTGTGTCTGTGTGAGTGTGTTAGAGAAATAGAGTGTTCGTGTGTAGTTGTAGCGGACTGATGGTTCACACGTGTGTCAGATAGTCAAAACAATATCAGTATAGATTGATGCAAATGATTTATGTGACACTTACCACGATCATTATCTTCCTGGGGTACTTCATCTATGTGGTCACCTGGATTCTCATCTACAAGGTGATTGATTGAAAACCGTGAGTCAAGTGGTCAATGCACACATGAATATTCCAGTCGACAATGAAAGTGATCAAATGAGATTGACTTGTGCGTGTCGAGTGATCAATGAATATTGTGTGATTGTGAAATTGTCAAGTGTGAATGTGCAGAGAGAGACAATGTGTGTCAGACAGTTTGTCAGGTGGAAACACAGACGGTGGACGAACAGACGAACAGACAGAAAGACAGTGAGGCGGATAGCCTGTCAGACAGAGAGAGAGAGAGAGACAGACAGACCGACCGAGTAGTAATCGGCAATATTGTGTGACGACCGACGTTGTTGTGAATGGAGAAGGAGATTGTGAGCGATGGTGATGTGAGAAGAGGGAATGTCGTGGATTCATGTAGATTTAAATATAAATATGTCTACATAGATATATATATATATATATATATGTATTTATATGTATATAGATATATCTATGGCTACATGTTTAGTTGGAGAGGGAATGTGTTATATGTGGAGGAATGTGATTGAAGCAATGATTGATTTGATAGTGATATGTGTTTAATGTGTGATGTTTGATGGGTGTGTATGTGTAGAATAGAGGTGATATGAAGTGGTTGAGTGAGTGATTGTGTTAATAATTGAGTAATCTAGTGGGTGAGTCAGTGAATGTGAGTGATTGTGTTTCGCAATGTGTGTGTGTGTCTGTGTGAGTGTGTTAGAGAAATAGAGTGTTCGTGTGTAGTTGTAGCGGACTGATGGTTCACACGTGTGTCAGATAGTCAAAACAATATCAGTATAGATTGATGCAAATGATTTATGTGACACTTACCACGATCATTATCTTCCTGGGGTACTTCATCTATGTGGTCACCTGGATTCTCATCTACAAGGTGATTGATTGAAAACCGTGAGTCAAGTGGTCAATGCACACATGAATATTCCAGTCGACAATGAAAGTGATCAAATGAGATTGACTTGTGCGTGTCGAGTGATCAATGAATATTGTGTGATTGTGAAATTGTCAAGTGTGAATGTGCAGAGAGAGACAATGTGTGTCAGACAGTTTGTCAGGTGGAAACACAGACGGTGGACGAACAGACGAACAGACAGAAAGACAGTGAGGCGGATAGCCTGTCAGACAGAGAGAGAGAGAGAGAGAGAAAGAGAGAGAGAGACAGACAGACAGACCGACCGAGTAGTAATCGGCAATATTGTGTGACGACCGACGTTGTTGTGAATGGAGAAGGAGATTGTGAGCGATGGTGATGTGAGAAGAGGGAATGTCGTGGATTCATGTAGATTTAAATATAAATATGTCTACATAGATATATATATATATATATATATATATATATATATATATATGTATTTATATGTATATAGATATATCTATGGCTACATGTTTAGTTGGAGAGGGAATGTGTTATATGTGGAGGAATGTGATTGAAGCAATGATTGATTTGATAGTGATATGTGTTTAATGTGTGATGTTTGATGGGTGTGTATGTGTAGAATAGAGGTGATATGAAGTGGTTGAGTGAGTGATTGTGTTAATAATTGAGTAATCTAGTGAGTGAGTCAGTGAATGTGAGTGATTGTGTTTCGCAATGTGTGTGTGTGTCTGTGTGAGTGTGTTAGAGAAATAGAGTGTTCGTGTGTAGTTGTAGCGGACTGATGGTTCACACGTGTGTCAGATAGTCAAAACAATATCAGTATAGATTGATGCAAATGATTTATGTGACACTTACCACGATCATTATCTTCCTGGGGTACTTCATCTATGTGGTCACCTGGATTCTCATCTACAAGGTGATTGATTGAAAACCGTGAGTCAAGTGGTCAATGCACACATGAATATTCCAGTCGACAATGAAAGTGATCAAATGAGATTGACTTGTGCGTGTCGAGTGATCAATGAATATTGTGTGATTGTGAAATTGTCAAGTGTGAATGTGCAGAGAGAGACAATGTGTGTCAGACAGTTTGTCAGGTGGAAACACAGACGGTGGACGAACAGACGAACAGACAGAAAGACAGTGAGGCGGATAGCCTGTCAGACAGAGAGAGAGAGAGAGACAGACAGACCGACCGAGTAGTAATCGGCAATATTGTGTGACGACCGACGTTGTTGTGAATGGAGAAGGAGATTGTGAGCGATGGTGATGTGAGAAGAGGGAATGTCGTGGATTCATGTAGATTTAAATATAAATATGTCTACATAGATATATATATATATATGTATTTATATGTATATAGATATATCTATGGCTACATGTTTAGTTGGAGAGGGAATGTGTTATATGTGGAGGAATGTGATTGAAGCAATGATTGATTTGATAGTGATATGTGTTTAATGTGTGATGTTTGATGGGTGTGTATGTGTAGAATAGAGGTGATATGAAGTGGTTGAGTGAGTGATTGTGTTAATAATTGAGTAATCTAGTGAGTGAGTCAGTGAATGTGAGTGATTGTGTTTCGCAATGTGTGTGTGTGTCTGTGTGAGTGTGTTAGAGAAATAGAGTGTTCGTGTGTAGTTGTAGCGGACTGATGGTTCACACGTGTGTCAGATAGTCAAAACAATATCAGTATAGATTGATGCAAATGATTTATGTGACACTTACCACGATCATTATCTTCCTGGGGTACTTCATCTATGTGGTCACCTGGATTCTCATCTACAAGGTGATTGATTGAAAACCGTGAGTCAAGTGGTCAATGCACACATGAATATTCCAGTCGACAATGAAAGTGATCAAATGAGATTGACTTGTGCGTGTCGAGTGATCAATGAATATTGTGTGATTGTGAAATTGTCAAGTGTGAATGTGCAGAGAGAGACAATGTGTGTCAGACAGTTTGTCAGGTGGAAACACAGACGGTGGACGAACAGACGAACAGACAGAAAGACAGTGAGGCGGATAGCCTGTCAGACAGAGAGAGAGAGAGAGAGAAAGAGAGAGAGAGACAGACAGACAGACCGACCGAGTAGTAATCGGCAATATTGTGTGACGACCGACGTTGTTGTGAATGGAGAAGGAGATTGTGAGCGATGGTGATGTGAGAAGAGGGAATGTCGTGGATTCATGTAGATTTAAATATAAATATGTCTACATATATATAGATATATCTATGGCTACATGTTTAGTTGGAGAGGGAATGTGTTATATGTGGAGGAATGTGATTGAAGCAATGATTGATTTGATAGTGATATGTGTTTAATGTGTGATGTTTGATGGGTGTGTATGTGTAGAATAGAGGTGATATGAAGTGGTTGAGTGAGTGATTGTGTTAATAATTGAGTAATCTAGTGAGTGAGTCAGTGAATGTGAGTGATTGTGTTTCGCAATGTGTGTGTGTGTCTGTGTGAGTGTGTTAGAGAAATAGAGTGTTCGTGTGTAGTTGTAGCGGACTGATGGTTCACACGTGTGTCAGATAGTCAAAACAATATCAGTATAGATTGATGCAAATGATTTATGTGACACTTACCACGATCATTATCTTCCTGGGGTACTTCATCTATGTGGTCACCTGGATTCTCATCTACAAGGTGATTGATTGAAAACCGTGAGTCAAGTGGTCAATGCACACATGAATATTCCAGTCGACAATGAAAGTGATCAAATGAGATTGACTTGTGCGTGTCGAGTGATCAATGAATATTGTGTGATTGTGAAATTGTCAAGTGTGAATGTGCAGAGAGAGACAATGTGTGTCAGACAGTTTGTCAGGTGGAAACACAGACAGTGGACGAACAGACGAACAGACAGAAAGACAGTGAGGCGGATAGCCTGTCAGACAGAGAGAGAGAGACAGACAGACAGACCGACCGAGTAGTAATCGGCAATATTGTGTGACGACCGACGTTGTTGTGAATGGAGAAGGAGATTGTGAGCGATGGTGATGTGAGAAGAGGGAATGTCGTGGATTCATGTAGATTTAAATATAAATATGTCTACATAGATATATATATATATATATGTATTTATATGTATATAGATATATCTATGGCTACATGTTTAGTTGGAGAGGGAATGTGTTATATGTGGAGGAATGTGATTGAAGCAATGATTGATTTGATAGTGATATGTGTTTAATGTGTGATGTTTGATGGGTGTGTATGTGTAGAATAGAGGTGATATGAAGTGGTTGAGTGAGTGATTGTGTTAATAATTGAGTAATCTAGTGAGTGAGTCAGTGAATGTGAGTGATTGTGTTTCGCAATGTGTGTGTGTGTCTGTGTGAGTGTGTTAGAGAAATAGAGTGTTCGTGTGTAGTTGTAGCGGACTGATGGTTCACACGTGTGTCAGATAGTCAAAACAATATCAGTATAGATTGATGCAAATGATTTATGTGACACTTACCACGATCATTATCTTCCTGGGGTACTTCATCTATGTGGTCACCTGGATTCTCATCTACAAGGTGATTGATTGAAAACCGTGAGTCAAGTGGTCAATGCACACATGAATATTCCAGTCGACAATGAAAGTGATCAAATGAGATTGACTTGTGCGTGTCGAGTGATCAATGAATATTGTGTGATTGTGAAATTGTCAAGTGTGAATGTGCAGAGAGAGACAATGTGTGTCAGACAGTTTGTCAGGTGGAAACACAGACGGTGGACGAACAGACGAACAGACAGAAAGACAGTGAGGCGGATAGCCTGTCAGACAGAGAGAGAGAGAGACAGACAGACAGACCGACCGAGTAGTAATCGGCAATATTGTGTGACGACCGACGTTGTTGTGAATGGAGAAGGAGATTGTGAGCGATGGTGATGTGAGAAGAGGGAATGTCGTGGATTCATGTAGATTTAAATATAAATATGTCTACATAGATATATATATATATATATATATATATATATATATATATATATATATATATATATGTATTTATATGTATATAGATATATCTATGGCTACATGTTTAGTTGGAGAGGGAATGTGTTATATGTGGAGGAATGTGATTGAAGCAATGATTGATTTGATAGTGATATGTGTTTAATGTGTGATGTTTGATGGGTGTGTATGTGTAGAATAGAGGTGATATGAAGTGGTTGAGTGAGTGATTGTGTTAATAATTGAGTAATCTAGTGAGTGAGTCAGTGAATGTGAGTGATTGTGTTTCGCAATGTGTGTGTGTGTCTGTGTGAGTGTGTTAGAGAAATAGAGTGTTCGTGTGTAGTTGTAGCGGACTGATGGTTCACACGTGTGTCAGATAGTCAAAACAATATCAGTATAGATTGATGCAAATGATTTATGTGACACTTACCACGATCATTATCTTCCTGGGGTACTTCATCTATGTGGTCACCTGGATTCTCATCTACAAGGTGATTGATTGAAAACCGTGAGTCAAGTGGTCAATGCACACATGAATATTCCAGTCGACAATGAAAGTGATCAAATGAGATTGACTTGTGCGTGTCGAGTGATCAATGAATATTGTGTGATTGTGAAATTGTCAAGTGTGAATGTGCAGAGAGAGACAATGTGTGTCAGACAGTTTGTCAGGTGGAAACACAGACGGTGGACGAACAGACGAACAGACAGAAAGACAGTGAGGCGGATAGCCTGTCAGACAGAGAGAGAGAGAGAGAGAGAGAGAGAGAGAGACAGACAGACAGACCGACCGAGTAGTAATCGGCAATATTGTGTGACGACCGACGTTGTTGTGAATGGAGAAGGAGATTGTGAGCGATGGTGATGTGAGAAGAGGGAATGTCGTGGATTCATGTAGATTTAAATATAAATATGTCTACATAGATATATATATATATATATATATATATATATGTATTTATATGTATATAGATATATCTATGGCTACATGTTTAGTTGGAGAGGGAATGTGTTATATGTGGAGGAATGTGATTGAAGCAATGATTGATTTGATAGTGATATGTGTTTAATGTGTGATGTTTGATGGGTGTGTATGTGTAGAATAGAGGTGATATGAAGTGGTTGAGTGAGTGATTGTGTTAATAATTGAGTAATCTAGTGAGTGAGTCAGTGAATGTGAGTGATTGTGTTTCGCAATGTGTGTGTGTGTCTGTGTGAGTGTGTTAGAGAAATAGAGTGTTCGTGTGTAGTTGTAGCGGACTGATGGTTCACACGTGTGTCAGATAGTCAAAACAATATCAGTATAGATTGAT